ATTAGCCTTGACCTCAAAATAGTTGTTCTCCCCGCCTCCATGGTACTAAAAGGATCTTTTTTTTTTTGCATCCTAATACAAACAAGACAAGTGTGTTACCGAGAGAACTTGGCTTCAGCCAGTCACTAATTACAGAGACATCTCAAACACATTTTGTTTGGAATAAACCCTGCGTGTATGAACCGGGGCTCTAGTAGCATTACTTTCTGACTTACTCACTGTAGGTCAGGTCCTACAGTGGAGAATGGCAGTCTTTGAGAGAGAACATTAGAGAACTGCACGTGTGTGTACGCCTGTGGCCCCCGTTAGCTGCAATCCTGGACAGAAGGATATACTGCACAATAGAAGATGCTCAGGGGAGGAATCCTGATTCTCACCCCACTTGCTGGGTGATCTTGGCCAAGTCACTCGGACTTCACAGACTTGAGAAGTCTGTGAGCTGAACAAATTGGTTTGTAATTTAAAATGATGTCAGTAGGGTTTGTAGATTTCACCCCCACCGTTTCCTCGTTCCCACTCATCATTCTTTGACACACCACAGAAGTCAAGGGATCTCAGACATGGTGATTTGATAGGAGTTCTGGGGAGGGCAAATGTTCGCTGCTCTCGGATGCTAACTGAAAAGTGGGATCTTCTAGACCACGAAGAGGCATTTCAGGAGAAAGGTCAGGAAATCACCTTCTGAAAAATCAACCATTGGAAGACTGGAGAATGTAGCTCTCCTCAGACACATGTGCGGGGCCACGAGTCAGATGAGGCTGGACAACAGCTGGATTAATTGCCCTCCAGCTGGGACAATTCTTTCGGACAGCGTACAAATAGGAGTACCACTCAGGTGACATTGGCAAGGAGAATTCCTTCCCTCAAGAGCTCAAGTTCCACCGCTGACACGACCATCCTGAAATAATCTTTAAACTTAAACCACATACATCCCCTGAAGTCTTACATTCAGTCTTACATATCGCTTACATGTAAAAGAGATTTGCATAGAAGAAAATTAACAGCAACCACTAAGCATAGATAGGAAACTTAGGAGGCCATGAGCGTGCATCGAGAGGAACAACTCGAAGAGTAAGGATGTTTGCACAGCCCAAGGACTGGATCCATGTGACTGAATTGCACATGTAGAAACAGTTCAATCCGTGTGTGCTTTGCTGTGTGTATCCTCAACAGCAACAAAATAAACATATATTTTTTTCAAGAGTCGAAATTCTGAAACTCCTCCAGGTGAAACTGCCTCCCAGTGTGCTCTCATACACCTCCAACTGAACCTGTGCTTCTCACACCATCCACACCTTTCCTCCCCAGGGCTCCTCCTTACTCACGAAATGTCGTGTCCCTTTGCTTCCCTGACCCAGCTGCCCAAACATTGCCAATGTGCTCTCACTGACACTTGAGACGCCCAGGTTCTCCAAGTGTGGCCTTTAGCCCAAAATCACCATCGTCATCACGTCGGGGCTTGTTAGCAGTGCAGAATCGCAGGCCCTCCACAGACCTATGGCATAAGCAGTTCTGGGGCCCCCCCCCCCCCCCCCCAACTCACTGGCATGGAGTCAAAGCTGACTCATAGCAACCCCCTGTGGATTTCCGAGACTACCTGTTTACCAGGGTAGAAAGCGCAGTCTTTCTCCCTAGGAGCAGCTGTTGGTTTGGAATTGCTGACCGTATGGATCACAGCCCAACATGTAACCACTAGGCCACTGGGGCTCCTATCGCTCCGAGGAAGAGCCCAGTAATCTGTGGTTTAACATACTCTCCTAGTTATTCTGATCCCAACAGAATCTTGAGAACTACTTCCCCAGGCCCACTTGACGGGAGCAATTTCCAGGCTTAAGCGACCCTCCCCTCCCCCAACACACCTCAAGACCAGAATTTGTTCAGAAGCAAGAAATGTGGCCAAAGGAATGAAGAAAGCCCTGCATTTGAATCTCTTAGCCCGATCTCTGGACAGTGCAGCTAAGGGGCAACGTAATTTAATAGCTTCCCCTCCACCACTCCTGGAAGTGCCTGGGTGGTATAAATGGTTAGGCTTGGCTGTTAACCGGAGGAGCCTGGGGCTTGGCAGTCTACTTCTGAAAATTCAGCAACGGATAATTCTATGGAACACATGAGCAGCCACCGCAAGTCAGAGCTGACTCGAGGGTAACTGATTACTGACTGCCTTCCTTTCCCACGGAGCCACACTGCTGCTCAGTAGGCAGAGGCAGGGGACCAGCCATTTCTGTACCTCTGGGCAAATTTGGTAAGCACTGAGCTGCTAATCTCAAGGTTTGAGGGAGACAGTTAAAATTACCTGCTCCCGAGGGGGGTCTCGGGGAGGAGATGAGCCAGTCAGGGTGCGATGTAACAATGATGAGAAATACAACTTTCCTCTAGTTCCTAAAGGTTTCCTCCCCGCTCCCACTACCATGACTCGAATTCGATCTTGCAAGACTGGCTAGACCAGAGGAGGTACACTGGTACAGATAGGAACTGAAAATACAGGGAATCCAGGACAGATGAGCCCTATAGGACCAGTGGTGTGAGTGGCAAAACAGGGAGGGTAAAGGGAGAATGGGTAGGAAAGAGGGAACCGATTACATGGAACTGTGTGTGACCTCCTCCCTGGGGGACAGACAACCGAAAAGTGGATGAAGGGAGACGTCGGACAGGGCAAGATATGACAAAATACCCATTTATAAACTATCAAGGGCTCATGCGGGAGGGGGGAGCGGGGAGGGAGGGGAAAAATGAGGACCTAATGTCGGGAGTTTAAATGGAGAGAAAATGTTTTGAGAAACGATGTACAAATGCGCTTTACACAATTGATGTGTGTATGGATTGGGCTAACAGTTGTATGAGCCCCTAATAAAATGTTAAAAAAAAAATTACCTGCTCCCGTAAAGACGTACAACCTTGGGAATCTTACAGTGCGTCTTAGAAACCCTCCAGGTTGCTAAGGGTCAGCATCAACTAGGTGGCAGTGGGTCCTGGTGGTGCAGAAATCCTAAATGATCAACCGTTAAAAGTTATGTACCTTCTGCAGTTGTCATTCCACACTCTTTCTAGAAGGAACTTGCAGCCAGCCCTTTCTCCTTCGATTAACAGGATCAAGTAGCAAAATACGAAGGCCAAAGGAACCTTATCCTACATTGGGAAAGGTGTCCTTCTACCTGAGCTTGCCCACAGCCCCGCTGCCTTCACCGGCTTCGAAAGTCCTGTTCTCCTGGTCTTAGGGTCCTCCCCCCGCTGTGGCCTTGCTTACCTAAGACAGCGCTCCTTTCTCTCAGGAACAGGATCTGGACCACATTGGTGGCGGTGAGCAGCAGGTTAGGGTCACACATCTGTAGCAGCAAGAGCGTGTACTTTGCCTTCGTCCGCTGGGTGCTGCTCCCAAACCAGGCCAAGACTTCATTCATCTTCTCCTCCACCGTTTTATCCAGCATCTGGTTCAAGGAGGCCTTCACAAGTCTTTCCTCCTTTTTGTTGACGTGGATTCGGGACCTGTGGTAGACGAAGTCTTTCCCCTGGGTGCTCTGAAGGATGTTTTGGAAATAGTGTAATAAGTATAAGTTATTTAACTGCTTCAGAATGCTAACAAGAAACCTCCTCTGTGACATCTCGTCGACCCTTTGGAAGCACTCTTTGGTAGAGAAGATTTTCCAGGCCAAGATACAGGTATCACACTTCTGACACACAGGGGCAGACTTGTTCTTCCTCTCACAAGTGAAATACGGGGCCTTCTTCAAGTCTGAGCCCAGGTTTTCCATGATGCTGAGCTGACCACAGGCTACTTTAATCCTTGCCCATCAGCAACTCCATCAAAACTGCAGGGGACTCGGAGAGACTGATCAGTACTCCAATTGTGCTTTTGTTATAAATATCTCCGAGGGAAAATACAAAACGCTGCGATGCCTGGTAAGCTCTTCTCTCCCGGAAACTGCCGGTAGAAGGCTGGCTTTTTGTACTGACCTCCTTGGAAACATGGCTTTACCGTAAATCTCCTAAACCTGGCACTGTCAGATGGAGGCAGTTGCTGTATACTCTGTAAGAGCAGGTAACCTCCTTTCCAGAACCACACTGGCCTTAGTCGAACATAACTAATATAATACAAAGACTACTTTTAAGGGAAATGGATAGGTAATATAAAGACCATTTCTAAAGGAAAACACATGCACCCATATATTGTAAAAACGGATATTAAACTTCAAGGATGGCGATGATCTACATATAATATACATCAACTTTAGCTCACTGCTGTTGAGCACACTCCAACTCAGGGCGACCCTCTTATCAAACAGAGCAGCACTGTTCCTGTGGGTTTCCAAGACTGTAAACCTGTATGGAACTAGAAAGGCTCATCTTTCTCCCAAGAAGCAGCTGATGATTTCAGACTGCTGACCTTGCAGTTAGCAGCCCAATGCATTTCTCACTATGCCACCTGTGTGCCTCTATCATATATATTACATGTCTAATATATATTACATATTACATGTCAAATATATGCAAATGTTATATATAAATAGCATGCACATTTGCATTTTTAGATTTTTAGCTTATATACATATATTTATTTAAATTTATTTATGTTTGCATACATTATTTATATTTCTTACATTCTTACCCAAATAAATCTATATATAATATGGCTAAATGTAAGCAATTGCATCTTATTTTAATATATATAAAATATCAAAAAGAGGATGAAAATGTCTTACCTTTTTAGCTTAGATTAGATTAGATAAAGTGGCTGAATAGAAATAAACTTAATGGCAGTAAATTTTGAGCTGTTTATCACTATGATCCTGAATGTTCATATTCATATTCTTAAATCATCAAGGAAGTAAAAACCACACATGTTTACTATAAGTTTAAGTCATGTCAGTGCTTCTGAAAGCTAACCAGAAAGCTCTGCAATGAACCGCTCTTCCAGGGAGAACATTGCCCTGGGTCTGACGCTGGGGCTTCCAGCGTCCATCACAGAAGCTCTGGCGTTACAGTTTCAGAAACGCACAGGGGAAGTTCTGCCCTGTCCATTAGGGTCACCATGAGTTGGCATTTACTCAAATGGCAGAGATTGAGCATCGTGACATACCCACTCAAGCGTCTGGGAGGCCGTAGAGTTTAGTGGTGAACAGTGGTTTGAACCCCAGTTCAGCTGCTTGCTACATCAACATGGGCAGATTACTTAATCCTCTGCGGTTCAGTTCCAACATAGAGTTGTGGGGATTACATGAGCTACTATATGTAAACCACTTAGGGATTATTTGCATTTGCTATTGCTGTTGCTGTTATCTGTTGCCATAAAGTCAGCAGAACAAACTATAACTCAGTCCCGCAGCACCTTCATGCCGATGGCTCCCAACCTAGGGGACTCATCTTTCAGCACTATGAAACCACACGCATTGCCGTCAGAGTGACCCTGCAGGACAGAGTAGAACTGCCCCTGGGAGTTTCCAAGACTGTAATTCTTCTGCTCCTGTAACTCAGAAGCAGAAAGCCCTGTCTTTCTCCCTGGGAGTGGTGGTTCCTAACTACTGACCTTGCAGTTAATAGCCTAACTCGTAACCACTAGATCACCAGGGCTCCTTTCCAGCACGATCTCTCACTGTCACGAGTCAGCGCTGACTCATATCCACCCCCTGTGGGTTTCCAAGACTGCAGCTGTTTATGGGAGTAAAAAGCCCTTTCTCCCTCAGAGCTGTTGCTGTTTTTGAACTGCCAACCATGTTGATTGCAGGCCAACTTGTAACCACTACACCATCAGAGCTCCAAATTCCAGCATTAGAGTAGCTGATTTTCTGTATTGATCCACAGGGTTTTCATTGGCTAATTTCAGATATAGATCTCCAGGTCTTTCTTCCTAGTTTGTCTCAAGGTAGAAGCTCTACTGAAACCTGGCTACCACAGGTGAGTCTGCTAGTATTTGAAATACATTACTTCCAGCATCACCACCTGTATAAGAGAGAGTTGTATATAAAGGTTAAGTGCGCATGAAGGAAACATCCCAACCCAGTGCTGTCCAAGCCCACAAGTCCAACATTAACCCATTAACCCATATGTCCGACACCAAGCCACAAAGTCCTCCTCCATCTCACAAAACAGATGCAACGATGATGACTGCAGGAGGAAAGCTGAGTCAGTGAACGTGTAAGCATCTCAGTGCTGGCAGGGGTCTCCACACGGCTGCTCCACCACCCAGGGCTGCATCGAGTAGGTCCATGCAGCTTCTCCTCAGGGATGTCTTGCAGGAAGTGAGCCTTGCCAGCTAAAGCAGGGAACTGGCTAAGGCAGCTGCACCCTGGTCTGACCATCAGAAAGGAGACCCAAGAACTAGAAAGGCGAGGCTCACTGAGCCATTTATCCCTCCGCCCTTCAATTAACCCCACATGTGTTTATTGGCACAATAAATTAACTACCTCATCACCCACAAGTCACCATGGTAGGAGAAACTGACAGATGAGTGATGGAGCACCTACTTAGCCCCCTACCAATACTAACTATTGAGCCTAAGTTGTGTGTAGGGTAAGCATCGGACTGCTACCACAAAGTCAAAGGTTCAAACTGACCAACCACTCTGTGGGAGGAAGATGAAGCTATCTGCTCTCTTAAAGACTTATAGCTTCAGAAACCCTGTGGGAAACAGAAAGATTTCTCCCAAGTCGTCTCCCCCAAACAGATGTTAGACTTAGGACACTGCTTGCAGCTAATGGTAAATGATTGTCAAGTTACCTTCCTGAAGGCAGTCAGCTGCCAGACTACTGTCTGGTCCCACCACAAGTAGGGCCCACCCACTGCTGTTAGGGACAATGGGCTACTTCTCCCTAAAGGCTTGCCGTCATCTGTTTGGTTCCTGTAGGTGGGGTTTACCCCCTACTGATAATGGTTTCTATACTGAGCCAGAGACAGGTCAAACCGGCTCAGTGATAACCAAAATTAAGCTGCCTCCCTGACTCTAGGATCCGCCCATCTTGTCACCTGTGAACCCCCATTACCTCCCCTTCCTATTACATGGATACCCCTAGATCACCCCCTCCCATTACTGTATTACCTATAGCACAACCCTTTCCTGTGACGTATGTCTTCACCTGTAATTAGGGGGCTTGCACGTCCCCAGAGAATATAAAAGCCTTGGTTAGCAATAAATAGCTCACTCTCTCTCTCTCTCCACGTGGACCACCAAGTGAGGCTGAGGTGAGCATGCTACTACGAAACATGACTGACTCCATTATTTCAATCTCCCTTCTATCTCTCATGCTCTCGATGACTTTAGTATAAACTCTACTTATTATCGCTGTACAATTGCACCTGCCGGACCATGACGATGTGCTAGGGGCTGGATTCCCTGACACAACCCTGTACAGTAGAATTGACCGGATGGCAGCGGGTTGGGTTTGGTGTGGGGCTCGTCCTGTTATCATCCTTAGGAGCATTTTCTGGAACAAACAGTGTCCACCACCAATGTGTACATACCTGCATTGAGATACATGTACAGAAACCATGTGTGTGCTTCTAAAAACAAAGCTACATGAAAATATAAATCGTATGTGTTTTGTGAGACCCCCTTATCCTGTGGCCCTCGGACAGGCTTGTGGTGCATTTGGAGTGATGACTCCTAAGAGCCAAACCCAAGAACATACATGTGCTGGAGGGGAGCTCGAGGGGAGCTCTAGGGGAGGCCCAAGTGGGGCCTTTACTCTCTCTCAGTTATGATCCAGGAAGAAAACAAAGGCCCTGAGGCATTTTCAAACTTTTCACGTAACAGACTCTTATTGTCCAGTCATCTCGCCTGGAAAAGCTCAACATGTAATATAGACAAAAAGCGGTATCTTATTAGCACAAAGTAATGTTACAAGTTCAAACGTTCATTTGAGAGCCTACCAATAATGGGAATCAAGGGAGACATTAACCTCAACAGTTACAATATTTTATGCAGCATCTGGTCTGTGAAGCCACTGCACATGGTTAAAAAACATTCAGGGTGGAATGTCTACAAGTAATTCTCAATAGATTCCAGCAAAATTATATACTGCTATATGGTATATATACATATGTGTGTGTTGACACATATACACACACATAGAGGGTGTACATATTACAAAATGTTAATAATTGACGGATGAGTGCCCATTGTTCTAATCTTTCCATTTTTTCTGTAGGTTTAAAAAATTTCAAAATAGCTTATTAAGGTACACTGCTAAATTGGGTCAAGGACAGATTTTGTAAAAGACCGCTACTCACAATAACAAACTAGCTCTTTTGGCACTGTTTTATTATCCAGAGGGGTGGGCTAAAAACAACAACAAAAATCACAGAAAAATTCCAGACATCCTTGGAGTGGTCTAAAATATGTATTCCTGAGTACACTCACACTCTACATGCTAATGGCAGCTTAAGTGAGGGACAGGTTAAAGAGAATACTGATTTGTAAACTAATGGTTCTCAAACTGAAGTGTATACCAGAAGGGCATGCTAAAAGAGGCCCTGGCTCCCACCTCTGGAAGACCTGATTCTCTAGGTCGGGGGAGCAGAGATGGACATTTTAACAGCAGTACTGCTGCTGGTGGTTGGGACTCACTTTGGGAACCCCTGATGTCAGCTATGCTCTTCCTTCAAAGTCTGTGGAAGTAACTTCACTTTAGAAACAAGCACCACTGATCCATTCGTTCTTTCACAACCGATGAG